GATTGTTACATCATTGGTTTGTGTGAGAAAATTACGTCGTTTTCTCAAAAATTGATGACGTTACTCTCACAAACAAATGACGTAACAATCAACACCTGCTTACAAGAGCAGATAACTCTGCAATACGAAAAGACGGAATAGTCATAATGGTAGCCTCATCCTACAGCCTTTCTAATGCCATAACTTAACATTTTTAATTTCCTGCACTAGAACACTTATGAAGAATGATGGCAATGACTGCTAACAAGACACATCTTTTGCAGCATGACGGTACACACTCCTAATCCGAGCAGCTAAATAATGCTTTCAAAACTTAACTTTCCAGGTTCACAACTCGGCAACCAAAACCTAAATCTGGTCATCTTGAATAACGAATGAGAAATAATTGATCCAGGACATGCTGACCATAACTCATTCACCCCTGAAATTTCATAATGAGCTATTCCAACCGATGAATTCGAGGAGTTCAAATGTGTCTTCAGGGGTGAATGAGTTGATATATAACAGATGGAAACAATTCAAATTCCAGTGTTGGAGGAAACTTAATTATGTTAGATTACTTTACAATTACTTATATTTTGTTAATTACCCCTTCATAAAAGTATTGATAGTCGGCATCAAATTTAGCGTTAAATGGAACAAGTGGAGGGCAGTTCAAGGACAATACTTCGCAAAGCCGTCAATGTGAAGTAATTTGACGATTGCAAGATATTTTGTTCAGAAAAAAAAATGTTCAGATTACGGTAATAATGAGCCAAAGTGAACAAAAAGATTTACACTTTAAATTCACCACACACCATTCACTATACAAAAATAACACTTTATGATGACAAATTATATGTATTTAAACCACTAAAGGCTATCGCTTTAACGATATTTATTACAAAGATCGTACAGGTATTTTACAAAAATATGAGTTGTACCTATACAATATATCATCTGTTTCAAACAAAAAAAAATCCCTGATTTTCAATGGTCTTTATTCATTGCTCAATTTAGCAGAAATCTTTTTTGGGGAAAATATTTAAAACAAAATCCAACAAATGAAATGTCCTGAGCACAATAATATTTTTCTGATCTAGACAAATTATTCACAATTCAACTATTCTAATACAAAGCTGACCTTTCATTAAGCGTCAAATGAAAGTATTCATATTCTTGAAACTAAATTAACTGATTTCACATAAAATGCAAAGCCTCCACTTTTAGCTGAATTCTAACAACAAATTGATTTGCCTTAATTACCTAAGGTTGATCACTACCACACCATGGTCGGAACATATTGATCATCAAAAATTACAAAAATTATTACCACTCGTTCCCAAAGAAGTTGTGATAGCTCAATCACTTTTTTGGATCATAGTATGTTAGGAGGCACGGTAGTCTAGTGGTAGGACGCGGGGCTACTCAGCTGTAAATAAGTATGTGGTTGGGTAGTGCTAGAATTGTAGAATGCTAGCTGTAAGCGCCAAAATGGCAGCACCAGCTGTATGCTCCTCAGGGAGTTGAAAGATATATAGGCTGGTTGCAAAGGCCCTATAACCACGGATAATAATTTGTGAACCACTTTGAGACGACCTACGAACTAGATTGTGATAAAGCAGTATATAAACACCTCTAATTGTTATTATTATTATCATTATTATGCTTAAGAAGTCAGTCAATCCAATCAAAGCCTATTGCTATTTTTGTTAAACCTTGCTTTGAGTTGGGTTTTTTTTCTTTTTCTTTGACCAATAACTGACTCTTATAGCGGAGGGTGAACAGTCTGATTAAATAACACTGATGTTATTATCGACTTATATTTTTATTTTTTTTCCCCACAGTCTTTTCAGTTTTTCAACAATACATTAAACAAAACATATTATCTTTCAGTCACACATTCCTAATTTTTACACAAGTTTTTTGTTTGCCTTGACATTTTTTTTAACATTCTCATAATTATTACAATTAAATCGACTTACATCTAGTGAAGATGACATCCGATTCTTTTGAATCATTTTCTAAGTAACAGTAAGGGTGGATTATTTTGCGATGTGAAAATATCTGCATTTTTCATGTTGTGTAAACTAGTTCGAAAAATATCCACAAATGAATATTTCTCAATAGTTCATTTAGATTACATATATGTATAATATCTTAACTTCAGAACCATTAGCAATTTGAAAGTTTTTCCACACTGTGAACATTTCCACACACAGTATTAAAATTAGCACTTGAAAGGTTATATCATTATCACAGTAAAAAGACATGACGTTCACACAAACTCAACAGTTAATGACGATATATGTCACTCCAAAAGAAGATGCTAAAACCTACTGTTAATTGCTAAAGATGAAATCATTCAAACTTGATAGCTTTCTGACCCAAGTCCTCGTGAAATATACATCAAATTACACACGGTCCTGAAAAGGTAATGCCCTCAACATCATTTATGAGAGAGGCAGACAAATTCTGACAATGTTGGACGATTTTAGTATCAAGTCTTCAGTATACAATTTCTAGGTATACAGTAATGATACTTTTCTTACTCAAAATTATAAAATCGGTGGAAAAGTTAAAGTGGAAATTGGCTGTATAAGAGGTTTAAAGGGGGTCTGCATACCAAACAATGTTTCTTGCCTAACCTCTGATCTACAGTGTATTATCCGACAACAAGTATATGTCAAACAAGACTGAAACACTACAATACATATCTGGGGGTAAAGGTCAAAAGTCAATTGTAAAGGTGTTCGGCTAGATAACCAGTTTAAACTTTGACCTTGATACTGAAGGTGACACAACGAGCAAACCAGGGTAACTTGATCCAACAGAGTAAAGTAGCAGTGTATGATAACTGACCAACTGGAATGAAATCTAGTATCTTCACCTTCTAAACAAACATAGCTATTGTCCATAACTCTACTTAACAAAACAAATCATATCAAGTTCTAATCCTCCAAACATTACAACACTTACTTCAATAAACAATTGTGTCAGTAAAAAAAGTTACTTTACAAATACTTGCAACAACAAAACTACAAAAAATAATACAGAGACTTTAGTTACCATAGGGAAATGTACAAAAGTAACCATATTGACAAACCATATTGACTTAGGGTACATTCCCGTATCCGGTTGAAACAGTTGAACCTGTAAAGAAAACGAGAGGCACAGATCTGGACCGAGGCTGACCTCAGGAAAATTTGGCACATGTAGATTGAGGGGTCCAGACGTACCTGACCGAAACTAAAATGCTGACTATTGCTAGTTTGCGTTATTTATTTCTAAAACAATGCCAAGCCACATGAAGTTTTTAAGATACGTTGTGTAACTCGGTAATGCGTAAAAGAAGAGCATAATATTCTTGATACATTGTTTTTTATTCTCAGAAACTGTGCATTTTTAGCTCTGCTTATAGAACGGTCCAAGTGCGTTCGTTTATCGTGGAATATTTCTGCGCCCCATGTACCGTTTCAACCGGGATACGCGAATGTAGCCCTATACAATTACCACGGTGACATGTACAAAATTTCCCATAGTAACTAGTACAAAGTTACCATCGTAATATATACAATAGTTACCATAGTAACGTGCACAACAGATACCAACAGATACCATAGCAACAGGCACAAATGTACAGGTATCCAAAACTTGATGTAGGTCTTTATAATACACTGAAGGATGTGCCATATTGCTAAACTTTAACCCGCCTTATTTTGATTCCTCAATTTTCAAGATTGTGAGCGGAATATTCAGCCAATTTCCACATTTCTTTGCATCATTTTATTACAAGTTTAAGTAATAAACAAACAAATTGAACAATAAAAGTTGCTTTTACTACAAAAACCTCCGTCTGTGATGAATATTAATAAACACTTGATGCCAGTAATAATGTATGGGGAGAAATGACTTATTATCCTACTAATTTCAAATTGAAATTTTCAATAGGATTTCTTGATAATTACAGTAAGATGGTATAAGAATCCGGGAAATCAGTCAGCAATTTCATTTGCAGTCCTGAGCAGGCAAAGTGGGACAGACTGGTGTAGCTAAGGTAAGATTACAGCATAAAGTTCATGCCAAGTATTTTGAACAGTAACAGAAAGTTAACCATTTTACCCCTATGTAACTTTAGTAGACTCTACCATGCATTGATCTGGATGAGTCCGTTATGGTCTACAGTGGTGAAAGGGTTAACTCATACTCAGTTGAAGTTCTAAAACCACAACTATAGTTAAAGATAAGTGTGATCTTATTTAATTGCTGAAAAATATGTACACATCCATAAGTGAATTCCAAGTGTTTAAAAAGTATTAAACATTCACTCTGTGATTCATGAAAGTTATACAAAATATACAGCGAACATTAAGTACCACCCAAATTACTGACCATCAAATTCACAACAAAAATTCTACGGCCTTGCCCTTAACCAGTTTAAAGCACCTTTAAAAGAAAAAAGTTGAAGATGGATAACTTGGGTATGCTTCATTTAAATTCATTAAATTTGACTGATAGCTGTCAAGTGGCTCAGGTAACAGTAAAAAATAAGATGCAGAGATTCAACAGAAAACTCACAAGACAGTCTAAGTCATCAAAGTCACTGATGAGTCAAACCCACAGGACTGTTTAAGTCACTATTGAGTCAAACTCGCAGGACTGTCTAAGCCACTGTTGAGTCAAACTCAAGGACTATCTAAGTCACTGTTGAATCAATTTCACAGGACTATCTAAGTCACTGTTGAGTTTAACTCACAAAACTGTCCAAGTCAGCTAAGTCACTGTTGAGGCAAACTTACAATACTGTCCAAGTCACTGTTGAGTCAAACTCAAAGCAGTGTCTAAGTCACTGTTGAGTCAAACTCACAGGACTGCCTAAGCCACTGTTGAGTCAAACTCACACGACGGTCTAAGCCACTGTTGATCAAACTCACACGACGGTCAAAGACACTGTTGAGTCAAACTCAAAGGCCTGCCTAAGACACTGTAGAGTCAATCTCACAGGACTTTCTTGGTCACCTTTGACTCAAACTCACAGGACTTTCTTAGTCACTGTTGAGTCAAACTCACAGGACTGCCTAAGCCACTGTTGAGTCAAACTCACAGGATTTTCTTGGTCACCGTTGAGTCAAACTCACAGGACTTTCTTAGTCACTGTTGAGTCAAACTCACAGGACTTTCTTAGTCACTGTTGAGTCAATCTCACAGGACTTTCTTAGTCACTGTTGAGTCAAACTCACAGGACGGTCTAAGACACTGTTGAGTTTATGATATTTAAATGAAGTATGATTTAAATGAAATAGTTGTATGTCAAAACAACTTTTGTCTGTGACAGATATGAACTGATTCTGCTGTGTTCATATCCAAAATAATAATCAATGTTTTTGTTAAGGTACACAGGAGTTTAAGGTTATCTTTTCTCCGCCCTGTGTTTCGGAGGTCTAAACACTCCTTTTGCCTTTTTCCCACCACTTTTCCATGATCTCCAGCTATCCACTCTCTCTGTGCGACTCTCCTGGAAATAAATATTTTTAAATATAAACGTCACTCATTTGATACACATAACAACACATGATCTTCTTGCCTCAAACACAAGTTACAGTAAAACAGCGATTATCTAACAGCTAAAATTTCATTTAATTTATCCCAAATATGAAAAAAAAGGTGATATATATGAATCATAGCTTTAGCATTATACAAGACCTCTTTTTTCGTATGTATTAAAGATTATTTTCTAACAATGAAATTGGCTTCCTCTTCCTTTATCTTAATTTACTTAAATTTAAAAAAGTACAAATTATTTCACCTCAAAATTTTTGTTCCATAAAGCATCCGTTTTCTTCTTTTCCTCGGCAGCAGCATCGCCCTCTGCTTTCCTTTTTCTGTAAATAGCAAAAGTCAGTGTGGATTATCTGAGTATTGATTCTGCTCAACATGCAAAGTAACAAAGTTAAGAAAACTAGTATTTTATCGCCAAAGGTATATTTTCCCATACTTTTGATCTTGTTCTTTCGATATATAAGAAGTATAAAATATTTTTAACCCTTTCATCCCTATGGGACTTTAGTAGACTACCATGCATTGATATGGATGAGTCGATTATGGTTTACAGTGGTGAAAGGGTTTAGAGATATTATGGTAATAACATTTTCTTTGCATTCATAACAAATAGAAATTGCATACAACATATTATCCCAAATCAAGGAAAATTAAAGTTCCTGCTCAGACTTGAGGTTCACATTTACTATTTAACTTTTTCAGAGATCATGGGAAACATGGAAAATTTTGTTGAAATGAAGACAAATGGACAACTTTGTATTTGAATATGACATGAATTACAATACATGAAACAAAGAGTTTCAAATTGATCTGATCCTGACAGGCATGATCTACTCATGTTTCTTACCTCTCATGCATGTCCTTGGTTTCACGTTCCTGTCTCATCCTCTCGAGATCGGCAAACAGCTTACAGGTCTGGACGTGGACAGCATGCTTGTACTGAGGACAGAAATCATTTTACAATTTTATCAAACTGTTCACAGTTTATCTATAAATGGGAACCTTGCTAATCTGATAATTGGGCACTTTGTAAATCTGGACACTGAAAATAAGGAACAACATTTATCCAGAGACTGATAATCAGAAATGTGGTTACTCTGGACACTGATAATTGAAAACCTTGTTTATCTGGACATTAATAATTGGGAACCTTGTTTATCTGGACACTGATAATTGGGGACCTTGTTTATCTGGACACTGATAATTGGGAACCTTGTTTATCTAGACACTGATAATTGAGAACCTCGTTGATCTAGATTATGATAATCAAGAACCTGGGTGAAGTCATAATATTATGATGTCACACAGCTGATAACAACTGTGTCATTTATCAATGGCTGCCAGCTAGGAAATCTATGTTTTTAATTCATTGTATAATTTCTTGACCTTTCAAGGCAAAATATACTTGTATGAACAGATGATTTAGAAAGCCTCTGATTTAAGTGTATTGCTGCATTCACATTGAATCTTTCTCCCCTTCATACATAATAATGATTTACAGATAAATAACTACTCTTAACACTAATCTATCACATAATTTCAAATCTGCAACATAAATGCACTTATGACCGGCTTGATCGGATTTTACAGACTTTAACCCATTCACCCCTCAAGACACATTTGAACCCTTCCAACTCAAAGGTTGAAATAGTTCACCATGAAAATTCAGGGGTCAATGAGTTAATTTCCATCAAAGCTCCTAAGTAAATTATTTAATAACTGGACAATGACACTTTCGATTTATGGTAAGTGGCTTTAACATTACCAGGCTATGCAAGCTTGTTCAATTACGTATATTTGTATGAATTTTCACCTAAATCTGATTGAAAATAAGAAGCTAGAACACCCACAATCCTTTCCTATTTATAGAAACAATAACCTTGACCTTAGTGCTAGGATCATGACATGCGAAAATTGTTTGAAGTTTTATAACTTTGAACTTTTGTTTGAAATTTAACAATATCGAACTGATAATTAAGTTGATGGATTGATTACAAACATTTTCCAATTACAGAACAATTGATTTTGTATTTTTGTTGACATGGTGCACAGAACAGGTATTGATGACATCAGACTGACCACTCCGGCCACCATTACCTTGTCTTCATCATCCTCAGGCACATATGGGGGCTTTCCCTCTTTCTTATTCTGTTTCTTTTTCTGTTTGATCTACGAAGTAAACAGAAAGGAATTATGACAATGCTTTTATCATTCATTTTTCAAATCAATACACTTACCAGGTACATTGTGTAAAAAAAAAAAAAAGTTTGAAAAACAATAATGACTAGTGATTACCGGAAGGTATGTTGATACTTGTGTAACACAAGTTATGACACATATACTGTATATACTTATGTCGGACAGAGTGAACGAGGAATTACAGCCTTGGTGGGAAAGAGGTCTAGAGGGTATGACAGTGTTGGAACTCTAATGTGCTGGTAGGTTGACCTCAATCACCAGCAAAAAAACATCAAACACATGTCAAGGTAAAAGACAAACATCAATTTGAATATTGAAAGTGGCTATGGTGACTTTAAAGACCAACAGCTTTAAGATAGTTCAATATTGTAGAGAGTTCTTTAACTCTTTGACCCCTGAAGACACATTTGAAATCTTCCAATTCAAAGGTTGGAATAGTTCATTGTGAAATTTCAGGGGTCAAAGAGTTAAAGAGATTTAAGACATGTAATGTTATTATAGAAAAAAATTCAGGTTATATAGCCCATCCATATCTATTGCAATCCAGTAGAAATGCTTCCAATACTATTTCAGTGTTCTATATAAGCTCAGCCCCTTCTTCAGGAATTTGTGTTGGCCCCCTAGGCTTCCTGCAGGATAAGTATTGTAATCTAACAGCCAGGTTGGTTGTGTCCTTTCCAAAAAAGCACTCCTAGCAACATCAATTTCTCTTGTCTTGAGGACAAATCGTGGCTACTGATCATGTTGTGATGACTAATAGAATCTTCCTTTACCTTGAGGGTGTGACAGAGAAATCTCCAACCCGAGGGGTGATGTTTTTTGGTTGTCTAACCAGAGGCTCTGCCGAGGGTTGGACAACCAAACATATCACCCAGAGGGTTAGAGATATCTCTGTTCCTCAAGGTAGGGGATGATTGTTTTTCTCCCATCCTATTATTTCAGTCACAACTCCACCGACAGTAGTGTAAACAAAAACACATGTGGGGTACGAATATCGCCATTCACTTTTGATGACGTCACAATTAACGGCGACGCATTTAAATGACGTCACAATTGAACATGTGCTAATCGGCACGAGGCTATCTCCCCCTAGGAGGGGACAAGCTGATCTTTCCCAACTAAAACGGGAGACACACACGTGAAGGGTGGGAGAAATTATTAAGAACTGTATCATGGCTATTGATCATGTTGTGATGACATTGTTATGAACTGTAACTATTTTACTTACAAGACGTGACACATTTTTCTGGGTTGGAATGGTTTTATCCTGGGTTTGGCTTCTCCTCACCAACGACAAACCACACAAACCAGATTAATAGCATAACCCATCAAAAACATCCTCCCTCTGTTACATGGTAACTTAATAAATAGTTGTATTAACTTTGTATGAGCTTGGCCCCATAACCAAAGGGTAGTAAAAGTTGAACTTTTCCCTTTAAAGAAGTCCTTTAAACACCTAGCATGGTAACTGACATGCTTAATTCTAAATGGAGCATTTCACTGACTGTATATGATAGTAATCTGGTTTGTGCCGTTTGTAGAGGGCCTGGCACCTTGTCAGTAAAACATTCTTTAACTTATGATATTCTATGTAACACTCACCATTTCATCCACACGGACCTTGGCCTCGTCAATTATTTCTCTACATCGCCGATACCCTTCCTCATTTTCTAACGTCTTGTACGATTTATTTACAGCTGAACAAAGACATTAAATAAAAATAAAATATTTTATTATATAAATGTTATGTGCATCATAAACAAAGTTTTTTTTTATTGTATGTTTTCTATAATTTCGTTTAAGGAATTTTTGGACAAAAAAATTGAAAAAAAAAATTCAACTTTAAACCATAAATGTCAGTTTAAATGAATAGTGGATTAAAATGAAATATAATATGATCTATACGTATCATTTAATTATTAACACAGACAAAATTGTATATTTCTACAGTACCTTCAAATGCTCTTTCCGCTCTGTCTTTGTTGTCTAAATTCTTATCTGGATGGACCAATATTGACATCTGAAATGAAAGAATGCCCTTTTTTACCACATGACAAGGCAAAATGATAAATGCATTTATCAGAATTATGTTACGTGGAAATTACTTTGACAAAAATGGAGTTATTTATTTCTATATTTTCTCTGTTGAGAATTACTATTAAAAATATTACAGAAATGACATCAATTATTTCCACAACATCAATATGCTAACTGATGTACACATTCACGATACTATTTCTTGATATGATACTAAATGTACATGTACTTCTATGAAACAATTTTATGAAGAAAAAAAAAATCATAGACTTTTTAATATGATATTTTTATGACATTACTTTAAGGCATTTGCAGCAAATTTCACTTCCACAAAGCTTGTTTTCAGAATTTAAATAAATTTGATATTTTCTACCATTTTAAAGGTTTTTTGACGTTAAAACTTTGGGAACATAATTTATTGTACAATAAGATATATAACAGTTTCTGTAGAAACCAATACTAACCTGTCTATATCGCTTCTTTATTTCTGCGAATGGTGTATCTGGATCAATTTGTAGCACCTTTTGAAAAATGAAATACAAATTAATAATTTGGGATTTTTTTATACCGACAAGCAATTTTCAAAATGGTAAAAGTTTCATCTACACAGGTTTTCAGCACACCGTTGAGAGTATGTTAATTAGCTTTGATTCTGGTCATGCTGAACAAATGTAATACAAAACAGTGTCCACAAATAAAATACTTTTACAGTTACAAACAAGAAAATACATCCATTGTCCCACATGTTTAAGTCATACCATTAAGTCATATAGTTTGTGCTGCAGAATGGATACAAATAAGTATATAAACCTTATACAAGTGGATACTAATGCCACAAGCATCGGACTGACTACATGCAGCCAGCACCACTTTGGTTGACTACATACATACCTTCAGAGACACTATTATGCATTGATCAACGTTATTCAATGTCACAACCTACCTCAAATGGGTTCAGATTGAAGTAGGTAGCACCTGGCCGATTTAATTTGTCAATTTGTTGTTTTGGGGTCAATACGGAATCCCTATGTTCTATTGCCTTCACCTGAAATTAAAGTATATAACATTACATATTAGTAACACATAAAATGTATATATTCAGAGGAAACACACATTATCTGAATGGTCACAATGTATAAAGGATTTCTATCTATTTCCTATTTCATGATATTCATAAGACAAGCACTAGCAAGTTTTAGAACAGTCAGATGATTAGTAGGAATACATTTGAGATAATTTTTATCATTTGATAGATCCATGTTAAGATAGTTTGTCAAACTTTAGTAAAAACACAAAATAATACTTAAGAAAAACTCGGACTCAGACTACATGCAGCCAGCTAGAGGGAATTTCCCTTTAGCTCAATGGTAAAGCGTCCGACTAGGAACCTGGAGATCGAGGGTTCGATCCCCGGTGGAAGAACACTATTCTCTTTCCTGTTACAAGTGGTGCCTGTGACCAACCCTTGTTTCAAGCATTTGGTGTGTGCTTGGCAAGGGGATACCGGAACCTGGGTTGTAGATAGTTGCGCCTTAGGGGGCGAAGATTTAGAAAAAGGAAGGAGGAATGTAGCGGAACTGAACTGGGTCGATCGTCGGCGACCAGATAGCTCAATTGGTAGAGCGTCCGTCTAGAGTTGGGAAGGTCCTTGGTACGAACCCCGGTCTGGCCGTGCATTTTTCCTCTCCTGTTACAGTAGTGTTACTTGTGACATGACAATTGGTGTTATTACACATGTAAGATATTAAAGATTTGGGTGATGGTATAATTACACCGAATAACAGCCAGATTATATGATGAAACATTTCAATGGTCAGGAAGAGACTTAAGTCAATGAAATAGTTTAGGTTGTTTAAAAAAGAAATTGGCCATATACATAGAGTAGTAATTTCCTAAATTTGCAAATTTCCAACTAGCCATTTTCCTGTTGAAAGAAAATCTATCCTTATGACCAAGGACCCATATCCCTCCAATTAACTGACATTTTATAGTAGTACATGAAGATATGTAATGTCTTGCTTTACACAATAAAACATACATTAGTATGGAGCAACTTATAAACTAGGCAAGATTAGAGCCAACGCTGTTGTTTTCTTAATTGAGGAATAATTTGGTCCTTTGCTCCTCGTCTGGATATCCGAAAGTATTAGAAGTGTCGACCGATTTCGCCCCTACAGTGGGCTTCTTCTGGACAAAATTATAGGATATTTCGACCTCAGGGCCAGTATTCATTAAACTCATACTCAAGCAATGATTTTGTGCTCAAACTTACATTCTTGTAACTCACTTAAATCATGTCAAACGATCAAAAGTCAAATGAAAACATCGAAAACAGTATTCGACTTTAAATCTCTTCAAAGTTTTTCCAAATCATTGAAAAAATAAATTTTTATTATCAAGTTATAACCGGAACAAGAAATTAGACTTGAGCACAAATTCCATGCTTGAGCATGAGAATGGTTTCATGAATACGGGCCCTGAAGTACTAAAAATGTGGGCATATACAATTGTTCTACATATATATATGTATAGTGACATCATTAATAATGGCAGAAATTGTGACGTCATAAACAATAGGTTATATTGTGACGTCATAAACAATAGGTTATAATGTGACGTCATAAACAATAGGTTATATTGTGATGTCATCAATAGTTATTACAAGATAGATAACTCTGTTAAGCCAATATCAATACATATCTAAAAGGACATCAATAAAAATGTTGTATAGCGGGACATAATAATAGTTAAGAGAATGCAAACTCTTTACATACTGAATTGTCCATTGGTAGGTTGTAGTGCAGAGTTTCATCCAGTTGGTAGATATACTGGTCTTATAATAACAGATTTTTAATAATCATTGTAAAACTAGGTTGAAGTCATCTTGAATGATGGAAATAACCTTCTATAAACTGAACAATATAAATTGATAATCAAAGTTTTTGAGTCCAAAGGCCTAGATGAAGGAAAGGTCCTCTCTTAGAGTGGCCATATGGTCATCATTTCCCTTATGACATGGATCCCTGTCATACTGGGATGGCTCTTGAAAGTGTTGAACAGAAGATAATCTGTGTACATGGTTCAGAGGGAATTGCATCATGATCTTTTCTACCTTTTAGTAGAGTAGTTGTAGATTCCGGTATGGTAAGGGGGTCAAAACTTCACTAGAACTTCTATAGGAATGACATCATTGTGAATGCGCTGCTGAATATGGTGTTTACCTCTGTAGGTTTTAATTCGACGTCTGTGAAACACTTTGTAAAATAGTGACAAAAACTTCGTTCAATTAACCTTGTCTGTTGATTTCTCTTCTACAACCTTAGGTCAGTGTAATGTTATAAAATAGAGTACCTCGGCAGTAGGTTGATACGCCCAATTTATAGACATTTTGTTTCCAATAGGTAAGAGTTTATTAATGTTCCCTCTTTTGGGTAACTGAACCATGGTTTTTATGAAGCCGTATGAGAGCATTTTAATGGTTGGAAGCATGGGTTGGTCTTATGGCAGACACTGTAGACTTATAACTTATAAACTATATATGGATGTACTAAATCTTGGTACAGAATGACTTGATTTTTATTGTTTGCAACTAACAATTTTATTAATGAAATTGGGAATTTATTTGCACAAATGCACATAATTATATTTTTCATTGGATTGTGTTGAAAAAGTATGCCGCCCTTTTGTTCCTAATGTTTAAAAGAGTCGTATGTGCTTTCATTTTACCTTACTTGCCATTTGAGTAGTAAAATTGTCACTGTTAACGTACAGGAGTAAACCCACATGTGGGATTGTATCCGACCTGTTTAAGAAAACTACATTTTTTTCACAGTCAGATTTGCAGATGATTTCCTTTTTATTTCATACAAAGCAAATAATTTGACTGCTAAATCACTAGTTATTGTGTCTCGAAATTACTAGAAACGATCGTTTGCGTCGGTTATTTCATATGATTTGTATTTTTACTTTCTGAAATAACTGGGTCTTTGTGCATGTTTGAAATACGCAATACAAAAAAGCATGTTTTTGAAAACAACGACAACCGCACAGAACTTTACCTCGGCATAAAACTCGTTGAATAGAGTCTCCCCTTGTTCATTTTCTTCTACCGGGGGAGTATTATCTTGCCCCTCAGGCAGGTCCTCCGTTTTTTCTGTAGCCATTTGTTTTGCTTTTTACCCACGACACGAAAGAGTTCCAACGTCCTGGTGCATTCGATTACATAGTTACAGAGGGAGCTTGATTAAGAACAAATATATATATAAAAAAAATCCATTTTGGGAACCCTCATCATAGCTAGACTTTAATTAATAGTCCTCGACCAGAAACAAACATCCTTTAACTAAAAGAGTGCCAAATCTCCCTCAGAAATAAATAAGACGCAAACAATTATATTGTATTGAGACTAACTATTCGCACCGACAAAACTCGATCCGTTTCAGTCTATATGGTTATATAAAGGTGATTGTGCAAAGGTACAAAATAAACATATGAATAAATAAATAACGATTGATATTATTTCACCCTTTTGAATAAGTTTTTAGCGTTACTTACTTGGGTTTTGGATTTGTAAATCTATAAAAACAAAAGCATATTGTAGTGTCAAAAGCAGATTCCCATTGCTTCGAAAAAAATATTTTCAACAAGTCATTATTCAATAATTATATCAGTAGCAAGTTGAGCAACCGTCCATGGGGCAAGTTTAACGTTGCTGGAAAGTGACGTTTATGTTAGTACGCCTGAAGTTAAAGATATTTTCATTTTGGCATAACAGCAGAAAGTGTTGTCAAATGGTAAGACAGTGAAGTGGGTCTCGTTCATCTTTTACAGAGTTATTACCCTTTCTTCAGGTTTGATACCGAGGTTCGTACGGAATATAGTTTTCTTATTATTTCACCCACGTTAACCAAACATGCCGTACTTATCAATCTTGGAAAGGCAGAGATGAACTGATGTCTAAAGAAAGTGCAAGAGGGAGAGGGGGTTACTACTATTATATACTACTCATCAGTTTATTAGTTGAAAACATTGACCTTACATTGTATCTTTTCAAAAATTGAATTTGTCCAAATCCCCAGACTCCCATGGCGTTACTATATGTATGATCCACAAATCGGCAGTGAATTTGTGTCACAGTTCGTCTGAAAATATAAGTATCTTGATTAAGAATAAGCGTACATACATGGTTGTGCGCTCCATTTTGTGCTGCATGAAATGTAGAGTTTGACACGCGTTTTTGAAAGAAGTTGGTTCGATTTATAAAATAGAAATTATTCGGTAGAAAATCCTACTTTTGCCTCCAAATGATCAGTCATGGGCAGAAGTGTAGCCTTAGTACGCGCAGGTTTGAAGCGTTTTACTGAAGGGAATGATTTTGGAGTTCTGATTTTGAATTTACCCTTTCTTGATAGCAACATCACTAATTCCCCTACATTCAGTGTTCACATGTCGAAATTGATTCAGTATTCGGATCCTGTTGCGAAGATCGTGATAGATGTCGACTGATGACTGATAAACTTATGGCACAGGTCGCTAACATGATCTCATTTGGAAATATTGTATTCCTTTGTGTCGATGTTTTTGATAATGTTCATTAGTGAACATTGTGGTTGTTTTTTATCACATCCAAAAAAACACGGCTCTAGCGGCCGTTGGATTCATGCAATAAGGGTGTAACCCATTACCGGCGTACATGTTTAAAAAAAAACAAAAAATATGATACACAATGGGAGAACAGGGTAAGAGAAAAAGAATCATTCACCCCCTTGTGGGTGAGATAGGGGAATCTCCACCCTCGGGAAAAGATTCTTAAGTTGCCAAAAACTCGGCAAAGCCTCGTGTTTGGCAACTTAAGAATCTTCCCCTCGGGTTGAGATTCTCCTATCTCACCCCCAAGGGGGTGAACGATTCTATTAGTCACACCCCCAAGATAGGGGAAGATTCTATTAATCATTTATTCATATTTACCAGCTCTTGTGGTTTAATATATAAACTTTCATTATACATTTATAGTTATTACTTATCTAAATATAAATTTGTGCGGTATAAAATGTATAACGATATTTCTGTAACAGTCAACGTCATCCTATAATAGCTTCTTATGATGGTCTCATGAAGCGGGAGAAGAATCATTAAATTGACACTGACACAATTACATTCAACGCCGTTATAGGCTATTTACCACTCTGTTGCAATGCCACTATATACCGACCCTGTCAAGTCCGGATTGCATTCATTACACTGTAAATGCCATGGCCCACGTATTGACATCATCATTATTATGACGCCACAATTGTAATGTTGAATACCACTAATGCTCCGCGGAAGATTGCTGTTATATTTATTAAACAAGCATACAGGGCACGATACTAATTTCAAAATTGAATGGAACTTTTAAAAGCAGATCTTAATTCATAGCATATCAAAATACTCCGAAAAAAGGCAAATAAAGCCATAGAACTGCGTTTATATGGCATTTTCAGTGATAAATGACACAGCCTTGCTTGTTAGCACATTATGACGTTTGCATGAGGATTTTTTTTTCTTTCTGAAGATGTAATACTAAACTTGTTCAAGCACTGCCAAGCGTAGAAAGCTAGAATTTATCGGACATTATTTCCATTGTCAAACAGATCGAATAAGGCGTAGAATAGTTTTCTGCGTTTGCGGTATTATTCCAGGTCATATTTTATAACATAGAGTATTTATATTTTATGATGGCCGAGCGGAGCGGAGCGAGTGTTAACAAATTCTCTGAAACAATGGTAAAAATGTAGGTTTTTGGTTGAAATGTTGATTGTACAATGTTAAGGCGAGCATTTTGGCAATTAAATATTGATTTATTTTGTCATAAATATGAATTATGATTTGACTGTATGTCTTTTATTGAGAATTTGTATGCATGCATATGTACAAGGGCAACACCTGTTAAAAAGGATATATATATATACATGTCAGACTTTTATGCTAATATTGGTTATTATTCACCTGATAACGTGATGCTAACTAAGGTGGATGCTTAATTGTCTTTGAAATTTTTGAAATTTACATTTTTTAACAGGTATAATAAATCACTCCTGGTGATCATGTGTACAGAACTTGTAATCTTTGTTTTAATGAAATTGGTGATGAATATCATTATCTATTTAAGTGCGAACATGTATCTGTTAAACAAATAAGACAACTATTTATTCCAAATTACAACTATACTTACCCTAGCCTTATTAAAATGCGTGGACTATTTACTATATGCAATGTAAAAGTTTTAAAAAATGTTAGGAAATTTCTAGAAAAACTTGAAAAGCTATTGAATGTATGTAATTAGTTTGTAGCCTTTATGCCATTGTTATCCGCCATGTATATATGAATATGATACATATTGACCTCTTGTTACATACTTTGTATGTCTGAGAGAAATAAAAATCTGAATGAAACCACAGGTGAAAATACAGGTCTATCTATCATGAAATGGACTCTATACATTTAAAATAACAATTAACATATATACCTAATTCCAACAGATGGTTTTATCCTCTCTCCACGGACAGGGTGATCACCACACCGTGACATTAGAACAATACGATTAGGTAGACAGTCCGTTGATCGCGATATGAGCCTTCACCACTGACCTGACTTGAGACCCTACTAATATATAAACAAAAGAGGATTCATCCCTATATTGTATAAGTATTGGACTCCTTGTTTGGGCAACTGCACCCTTAGACATATCTAGATATTCAAACTGCTGCTTGCCATAGAAAATCATAGTTCACAGGATGGCTGATATCAGAAGAAAATCCCATATGAAAAAGAGGAAAATCTTCAAAAACCCAAGTCCAGATTATTTTTGGACACAGAAAAAAGGGTGTTGCCCGGGAAACTAGCCGGGACAACACCCCTGGGTCCGCCACAGCCGTAATATCCTTTCAAAGTGAGGTTGTCGTTTGACCTATTTACAGTGCTAAAAGTGTAACATGTGAAACCTAAATTTTAATTTTTGAGAAAAATCAGTTTAGTATTTCCAGGGACGTATAATGTCTATATACTGTCCCTGTCCCTGGTATTTCTTGGTAAATTGTTATAACAAACTGGAACTGTCGAAATCCAAGACGGCTCTCTGCTATGAAAGGCCGTTCATGTCAAAAACGAGATAAACTAACGCGTTGGCATTTAACGCGTTAAACAAGGATTTAACGCGTTAAACAAGGATTTAACGCGTTAAATATAGTTTTAACGCGTTAAATGCTATCACGATAAATATACACTTTTATCGCGTTAAACCCTAACGCGTTCGCTTTTAACGCGTTAAATACATGTTTATTGCGGCAAAAAATATGTTATCGCGTTAAATGCTAACGCATTAAACTTGACAACCAATCAAATGCGTCCTTGCATATCAGCATTGTGAAACCAAAATGCAACTTATAGTTGCTGGGGAGTGGATGTAAACCATGATATAACTGTTTTAGCATCGTACTGTTTCCTTTGATTTTTTTAAATTTCATTTTTTTTAATTATTTCAATTGAGTTTATGAGCAATGTTTGAGAAGTAGGCAGATGCTATTTGTTCAAAATGCATAAAACTATTTAAATTTTGATTTAGAATACATACTATTATATCTTATTGCATAACAATTCCTGTGTATTTTTTATCAAAGTATTCCATTTTGGGTACAGTTCCATTTTGGGTACCCTCACCCTACACCCTTGCGATGAAAGAAGATCACCTACTAATCCAGGGAAACAGTACGATGCGAAAGCATAAATTTTCGATCATATTTCTTAACATGGAAAACTATATGATCACATGAATTGTTTGGGAATAAATGAGTAAAATTTGTCAGAAATTGTCAAAAGTTTGTTTAATGAAGAAAATGATTAAAATGCTGTCAAGTCATTTTCATAGACTGACTTCTAATAGTATATGATGAAGTGTTCCATTTTGGGTACTCGACCAGCAAACAAATTTTAACCACGTGACCTTACAACTTGGCTGAAATATTATGTTCTACAATTTTGCAAATGTAGAAGTGTATACAAAAGGTGTACCAAATTTTCAGATTTCAGATTTTATTTCCAACACTCAGATACATGAAAATGTGTAACATGAGGTACATGTACATGAATTCATATATTAAATTTTGACAGGATGGACAGGTGCATGCATGTATACAAGGCAAGATTGTAT